ATCTTTAATTTCTCTCTTCCATCTCTTACAATATGATTATTTATCTCTCTTCTCCAAAAACTATAACCACAAAATGTGTCATTTTGATGTTGGGACAAAGTGTTATATACAAATCAATTAAAAGTAAGAAAAATAAACCATTTCATTTCTTTTTCACTGCTTTATTCTCTAATGCTCTTCCTCATTTCTATATAAATTTGAGTTTCTCACCTGCATCATTTTCATCTTGCTGAAGAATTTCTTTTAACATTCTGTACAGCAGTCTTTTCAATTCTTTTCTCTTACTTTGCACTTTAGGGCATTTATATTGGCATATGTTAAAGCTCACTGATTCTTTCTATAGCTCTGTCAAATCTAGTAATGAACCCACTAAAGGCATTCCTCATTTCAGTTACAGGGTTTTTGATTTCTAGTATTTCCTTTTGATACCTTCTTGGATGTTCCATCTTTCTGCTTATAATAACTATTTGTTTTTATATGTTGCCTTCTTTTTCTATTAGAACTTTTAGTATATTAAACCTGATTGTTTTAAATTGCTCATGTGATAATTTCATAGTGTTTGCAATATTTGGTTTTGGGTTTGGTGTTACTTTGTCATGTCACGGTACGATTTTTTTTTTTTTTTTTTTTTTTTTTTGGTGCTATTCATCATGTCTTGTAACTTTAGTTAAAAGCCAGACAAGATTATCAGAAAAGGGGAACTGGTGTAGCCAGACCTTTAGAATGACATGTTATGTTTTTCTCTTTAGGGGTTAGGCTCTGTTATGTTTGCTGTAGCTATGGCGTCAGGGGCTAATGTTTCTTTTAGTGTCTGTATTTTTCCTCCTATGTAGTTTTTGAATTTTCCTAGATACTGCATAGAGAGAATCTGAGTTTGTAGGTCTTTTCAGCTGTATTTATATTATGGAATGGTGGTAAAATAGAGAGGAAGAGTATGCAATAGTCCTATCATTAGGCCTCAATATTTCAGTGAGCCTCGGGTAGGTATTTCCAGTCTCCTGCGTTGGTTAGAGTCTGGTAAAGTACCAATAAGTTAGTTCCAGTACAATTTTCTTGGGACACAAGGAAACTTAATTGAAATACAAAGCCCAGGGAATATATTAAAATAGTTGCTTTTTTCTACTCCCCTTGATTGATACAAGGTAATTTTTCTCAAATCATTATGGTGAGTACTTGGTTGAGCACCTGAGTAAAAATCTAAAGAAATACAGACATTTTTCCTAAGACTGGCAAACCTCAGAGTGTTTAACTTTGAAGCTGGTCTACACTGCATGCCAGCAATTCATCAATTATAGCTCAGCATTGTTCCCATAGACACTTGATCCAAGAGAAGATTCTGCTCCCTGGGACCTGATTCTGAATCTACTGCCCATTTCTTCCAGTTTTGAGGGAATAAGTTTGACTTGATTCCTAAATGATTTGATTGATCTAAGAATTGTTCATTTTCAGTTTGCTCAGTTCTTTTTCACTTTGGGATGGGACTGATGAATTCTCAACTCTTTACATGCTGAACTACAAATCAGAAGTAAAATGTTCCATATTAAACAAAAAATACTGTGTTTCTGCCATGCAGGTGATATACATGTGATTATAGTTATTTATTTATTTATTTAGATTATTGTTATTTTAGCCTTATATTAAATAAAATTCTTGAATTGAGTATAATTTTTTTAAAAAAATTGTTTTTCCAATATGGTCTGAAATGCTCAATAAGCAACAATTAGGTATACTTTTGCCAGCCAGTTATTAAACTATGTTGATTGTGTTATTAAAATGATAAATTAAAAAAGCAGGCTGGGGATATAGCTCAGGAGTACAGTGCCTGCCTGGCAAGCACAAGGTCCTGAGTTTGATTCCCAGCACCAAATAAAACCAAAATAAAAACAACATTATGGGCTTTTTGTGTAAGATTTCCAATTTAAACTGTGCAGGAATTATCTCGTTAATTGCATGCAGTCACTAGGTGATCTAGGATCTGCATGGACTGAGCTAGAGCTCAAATTCAGGCTACAGGAGTTCTTCTTTCACGGTGAAAAAGTACTTAGCTGTATAGGAAAATATTTGTAGTCCCAAACACAAGTTTATATTCACACACATCTTACCTCACACATTTAGGATCATTTAATAAAATTACATTGTGTTTCTATTTCCTACTTCACTTTTAGGAGTTAATCATAATTCTCTGTAACTTGTGTCTTTGAAACTTTCACCTTATGGTTTTGTTTGCCAATTCACATATATTATCCAGTCTACATTCTCAGTGCGGAGTTAAAAGGAAAATGATAAATCCTTAAATCTCACTTAGTGAAAAGCAGCAGGTACAGCGTTCTTCCTGAAACCCAGTCTTCTCCTGCAAGGTTGAAGATTCAGTCTCTGATATCACGATGCCTCATTGCTGCCTAATCAATAAGCCTGGCATCCCTTGAGGCATGCATTCAGAAAAAGCGAGAGACAAGTGCAAGTGCTCAAGATTGTTATCTTATGCCACATATTCTTCGTAGAGAATTATGCTGAGTTTTATAACTCCACTAGGCTTCTGTGTTAGTTTCTTTCATCATTAAATCTCCCTTCTCATTTTGCAAGAATTCATTCCATTTGATAAATGATTGCCACATGTAAGTATGTCATCGGAGCTTCTTTTATTCATTGGAATGGTCTGAAATTATTTCTTACATAACCTACTTTGACTTCTTCACATTGGTAAAGTGAAAATAGGTCCTCTCTTTAATTCTATTCATACCTTAACAAAATATTATTTTGGGGCAGTCACTTCTGTTTGAAAAATATACTAGGAAAACAGAGTGTGTTAATTCAATGTATATCTGGTGGAAAGTCTCTGGGTATTTGTTTTAAGATCAAGGAAACATTTGAATGCTTTAAATTTCATCTTCCAGACAGATGTACTAATAATTTATTTATTTTTTATTTTTTTATTTTTTTGGTTTTTCTCCGGTACTGGAACCGAACTCAGGACCTTGCGCTTGCCAGGCAGGCGCTTTTGCCGCTGAGCTAAATCCCCAGCCCCCAGATGTACTAATAACTCAACTAAGGGCATTATAGGAGATGTTTGGTTGAGATTTGAAAAAGAAATTGGAAACATTTTCCTTAGTCTTGTAACAGGGCTTACATAAATTGGGTCAATGTGTAAGCCTCAGCAAGAATAGATGTATGCACCTGGAAATCTTTCTAAATTCATAAAAGCAAATAAATATAAGTCAAGCTTAATTTGCACATTGATGTGTGCAATATATGTGCATACTGACATGAACAATATGTTTACCTATATGTTACACATACAGTAAACATTCATTTTGTATTCTCAATTGAGAAATGGTTTTGAAAAAAATGTAGATAAATGGATAATAAAAAGTGTATTTCAGTACTTCAATAGGAATGAACGCTGATTGCATTTTTAGAGTACAAAGGCTTCTCAATAGAAAATGAACAATGCAGCCAAATCATTATACAGAGATACTTACAAAAATGTATTTATTTTTAAGCTTCTGTTATGGTTGACACATTGTGTCAACTTGGGGAGTCTAGAGGTTTGGCTAAGTGACTCAGCAGGAAGCCAGAGTGCTTACTTTGTATACATCCTGAGCCTGTGGAAGAGGAGGGCATGGAGATTATGTGAGAGCTACATGCCACTTAGGTGGGGGTAGCCTGTTTACAAAGGAAAGCAGGGAAAAAAGCTGCTTGCGGCCATTCCTCGGTTTTGCTCTGGCTGTTTACTGTTCGGCTGCCATTCCCCCCTTTGCTCTTGTTGCTTTGCTACCTTCTGCCTCAGAGCCAGCCAAGTATGGACTGAAACCTCCACAAACTGTAAGCTAAATAAACCTTTCCTTCCTTCATTTTGGGCGTTGGGTATTTTGTCTGAGCAACGAGAGAAAAATAACCAAGACAGCTTCTATAACTGACACAGGAATGAATCATTTTTTATCTACTTATATAAATGCATTCTTCTATGGCAGTAAACTTTATGAATGAGAGAGTTATTTTTTGGAGCAAAGAAAACAATAAATTTAGGAAGAGGGAGATATGAAAATAACCGTAGAGAGGAGAAAACCTCAGAAAGCTGACAATTTTCAGTAAGAGGGAAGATCGGGAGGTAGTTCAAGGATTGAAATTACAGACACTCCCCCCCACATATACACACACACTTGTTGAATGGGATGGTCTTTTGTTTTCTCATTGCTTTCTGTCATTTGAAAATTTGTTTTCAATGGACTTGTTACTACTTAGGTCTCACGATTGCTCAAAGAGGGATCCAAAGACCTGGTAAAGGTAAGCCATCGAGTTTGCATGACCGGGCGCACGGTTCTGGAGTCAGGAAATAGAGTAGAAATGAAACTCAGGAATGTCCTGCTGCCTTTAATTATACGCTAAGTAGTGGTTTTCAGAGCCTGGGACAGAAGGGAAATGGGAGTTGTTGTTCAAGAGGCTCAAAGTTTCCAGAGTTCAGGCTTCCAGGGAGGAGGCAGAGGGCTGCTCTGGGACTTGCAGGACAGGGTCCTGGCGGGGTGCCCGCCCACTTCCTCCGCTTCTCCCCATACCCAGCCTCTCTTCACTAGTCCAGGCTCAGCACAGCGGGAACTGTCCCTAAGGCTTCCATGTCACCCTCAGCGCCCCGTGGGGTACCTGATCCTCACACTCAGAGCTGTGCAGCTCTTCAAACCCTGGGACAAGCACAAAACACCAGGCCTGTTCTCATCCAAAACTTCAAAGTCTTGAAGCACAAAGGTTGTGGAGACCACAGGGCCTGGGTCAGCAAATGCAAGGGAGGGTCCTGGGCTGTTACTTGCCCTGGAGAAATCAACTGCACAGCATGCTGCCGGAGAATTTAGACATTTTAATGGCACATGAGCTTTAAGTACATCGAATGAGTGTTAAATACGCCACCCCAAAATATGCCACTTTGCCCTGCAGATTGTTTGGAGCTAAAGGCATTAAAAAAATAAAAACAACAGCAGCAACAAACCAGGTGCGTGAAGATGACTGACCTTTTCCTTTTCCTTCCTAAGAGCAGAAGAGAAGCCTCCACACGGAAGATGCACTCGCTATACCAGGAGAAAGGTCCTGTTCTTCTCAAGGGCATGAAGTCAAAGCCTAGAGGAATGCGTACAAAGCAGTGCTGTTCAGTACCCTGTTCCTCTGGGTCCCTTCCCCACCCAGGCCGCGCCTGGGCCAAGCGCCTTCTCCTTGTCATTCTTTTCTAAGTGATCACTTTGTCCAATGTGGTACTTCAGTGACTCTGCTTTGTGAGTCTTTGTTTCCCATAAGGACTTCTATGTCAATAAACTTACAGTAAATAGATGTGCCTGATAATCGTGTTTAGAAAGATGCCAGGGTTCATTTTTAAGAAGAATGAGTTCAGAAGACCTAAAGTACTGCAGGGTGACAACCTTTCGTCGTCCTGCCCTCTGTATTTGAATTTTGCTGGAAATACACATACACACATACACACCCACACACGCACACACACACACCCTCTAGGAAGGGTAACTGTGTGCTGATGGATGGGTGATTTTGTGGTAACTATTACACAATGCATATGTACATTGAATCATCACATCACATACCTTAAATAGATGCCATTTCTGTTTGCCAATTTTATCTCAGTAATTCTGGAATAAAAAGGATGTTTCTAAAGATGCTAATTGTGCAGTATGTGTGTGTGTATACATATATATATTAATGTATATATATTTCTAATAAATTTGTATTTGTTTTGCAATTTGGAATGCTTTGGTGATAAAATGATTTGGTGATAAAATCAGAACTCAAGTTCTGATAGTAAAAATAAGGACTGTTTTGAGAGAAAAGAAAAACAGAAACCAATATGATTCTTAGTTTAATAAGTAAGAATTTCCACAAAAGAGTGAGATTTCAGTTGACAGACATTAAAGGCAGTATGAGATGACCAGATATCTACAAAAGAATCCAGACAAGTTCCTTTGGATCATCTAATCAACAAGCCCGTCTGCTTTTTCAAGCAGATTGTTTATTTGAGAAAATGTTTATCGGAGTACTATTCAGTAACTATTCAAATTTAAAAATTGACATTACTCAAAATCCTAGCTGGTCTCAGTAAATCCAGCGACCTCTCCATGGTTCATCTTCTCGTGATCACTGCTGGAGAGCGCCTTAGAGCAGTCGCAGAAGGAGCTTCTGAGCAAAGCTCAGTTTCTAGACTTGCACCAGATGGTTGCAGTATTTTGCTTAAAAGAGAGAGAAAAATAAAAGATTTTAGGCTGTTTGTTTTTCTTCTAGTAAATGCAGGAAGAATACAGAAAAGTAAACACACAGAAAAAGCTTTTTGAAATAATCTTGTCATTGAGGAGAACAGACTAGCACACTACGTCCAATAAATTCTTTGAAATAGGTTACTCCATGGCCATAGGTATTGGTCACTTTATCAGACAATTACCTGACTGTCAAACGAAAACACCTTCTTAACCATTCCAATATGTTCTTAAGACAAAAGCTATGAAGTGTGACGCGAAGCATTAAAATACTTAAAAGCACGCCTGCACTTCTCTGGTGGATAGACATGCTGTTAACGAAGGTACATAAACTTCAGAAAACAAGAGCAGAGTGTGTGAGGAGAGATTTACTTCATGAGAAATCCTCTGCCCTCAAAGGGTTAAATGTTAACCAAGTTGAAAAGCAGAAATCAGGCCCCTATTAGTCTTGAACACTAATCTTGCTGACGGCTGAAGTGTTTCCTTATTTTATCCGTATTTATTATATTGAAGCAGGGTTCTGTGGCTGTGACTAATGACCAAACATCTGCACCTCGTGACCCTTAAAATCCTCCAGCCATCGCTGTTCACAGTCAAACACCACATGGACTACAGTGATATTTTGGCTTGACCAAAACAAATTAGTGTAGAGAAGGCAAAAGAAATAGCTTTGCCATTAGCTTTGTGAAAATCACAGACTATAGACATTTTAAATTAAAAAGCTGGGTTTTCTTAATAATTGGAATGTCTCATCATCATCGCAGAGTAAGGAGGGTAGAGTAATTATTTTCAGAAGAAATGAGTCTTCTGGTGGACTGTTCATTGTGAATAGTGAGAAGAGTTATTTTAAAAGTTTTACCTCCCAGGATTTTGATTGAGCTGGGGAAAATGAGATTATTTCAGGTTAAACCATTGGCAACCCCCATTTCCAGGGTAATTAATTTTACAGGCAAACAGATATGGAAAGGGACAAAAAGGTGAATGTTATCATCACCATCTAAATTTTTTCACTGAAGACAAATAGTTTGTCTTTGTATAATACAAAGGTAGCAGAGGCAACCTAGAGAGGAGGGGTCAACAGCAGCAGAGATGGAGCTGTTGGATGGACATGCAGAGGACAGGGTGAGTTACCCAAGAAATTGTGATCGTGGAACTATGCAAGGAACGTCCTCAAAGAAAGCCATGTTTGAACTCCAGAGTTTTTCTCTCCTCTGACGGGAGTGGGGGGAGGGTAGTGCTGGGGAAAGGATGGTGAAGATGTGGAACTCAGCCCCACTGCTGAATGCGTAGGCGAGGTAGGCTTCATGATTTAACTTTAACAGTAAATTCAAATGCATTTCCTACTGGACTAACAGAAACTGCTAATGTGTAGTATAAAGCTTTACTTTAAAAAGATCATAGACCAGATACACCAGTTATGACAAACTCTGGTCTAATGAGGTCACAAAATGTATTCTATCTAGACACAAACCTGAAACAAGGAGCCCTTGAGTCACAGGACGCCCTGGGGTGGTCACCAGCAGGAATCCGATGAGGAAGCGAAGGACTATGGGAATTCATGTAAGCTATATCTGGGCTAATGTCCACATCTAATTACACTGACAAAAATGAAAAAAACTCTGAAAAAACATGACTTCAAGAACATGAAATATAATGTAGGTTTAAAAATAACTTCTGTTAAAATTTCCTTCAAAAATATTGGCACATCTAAGAGAAATGCAAAGGAAAATGAAATCAATGAAACAGAAAATTATAAGCCAAGGATGAAATAATGAAATTAATCATATAAAATAGGCACCATAGAAGGCAGAAACAAGCTGAGAACTAAAATATCATTATGTAAGTGACAAATAAGTGACTACGTGGAAAAGTAAAACACACACAGGTCTAAAAACTAAAGAGATGATACAGAAGATGATGTCATTCAAGCAGAGGAAAGGTCCTTTATTTGAATACAGTTTAACATCAAACTTCTGGAGAACTACTGCTTTTCATTATTGATAACAAACAATGGAGTTTATAAACCAAGAACTGCAGATCCTTACAGATGCCCCAGTAAGAAATCAGTACAAATATGAAATCATTATGAGAAATCTTACATCTCAAGAAAACTCAAGTAAGTGAAACGATGTAAATTTATCTAGCACTTAAAGTTGAGCCAAACATATCCAGGAATAAATACCATGCCACTGGAGTAATACTTCTCAAACTATTTTAGAATATTTCTCAAAACAGTACTACTTAGACATCATATGGTATAGGACAAATCACACCAGTGCAGTGAAAGCAGCCAGCCCCTGCAGCTACTGTGTATGCACATGTGTGTATCACACATGCTTACCTACGTACACCTTGTCTTTCTCATAGCTGATGTGGTTTATTATCTCTGCATACTTTCCCTCAAGGGTAGTTTATACCCATTCCTCATAATTCTTTTGTTAACTTATTTGAGAAATATTGGTGTCAATTATAGAACATTTGTTTAAATATACCTAATATAGAATAGATAGCAAATTTTTTTCTTTTAAGGAGAAAAACCCAAAATAACAACAAAGGCAAAACCAAAACAACACAGAACAATAAAAGCAACACAGAATTTTAAAAGATAGCAAATATTTTAAAAGGAATCACTACATGTTAAAAAATATAGGAGAGATAGACCTAACTTGGGGGCTCAGATAAAAATTCATCACATTATACTTTAATACTACTTAATGTGATACTTAGTTCTTACTTTTAATGTAGAAGATTACATTGAGCATTTTAGAGAAGACAGAAATAGACCACAAAGTACACTTAGTGAAAGAAGAATGATGATTATGAACAGAGGTAAGAGCAAAAGCAACTGATTTGTAAAAATCCATAATGTTGATAAATAGAAGAGTCAAATTTAAAATAAGATAATTTCAACTAAAATAAGATGAGAATAACACATGAGTATAAATAAAAATAATAAAAAGATACAGGGAGGTAATTTTAGAATTTTTAGTGATTTTGAAAATGTACAAGTAAATATTTGCAAATTCCTATGAGAAACTGATCATAATAAAAACTGATAAAAGATAATGAAAATATCTTTAGAAGAGGGAAGCACTGTATGAGGTATTGCCCGGCCACAACCTGCACCATCCATGGAGCACATTCACTTCCAAGAGGTGAGGCAGACAGTGCCTGGGTCACTTTTCAAATTCCTGAAAGAACAGACAGTCTGGAGCTATTTCATGGATCCCATAAACAGAGATCAGTAAGTAAATCAGCTAAACCTAACCACAAATCCATTACTTCCACAAGTAGACTTTTAACAAAATTTTAAAGAAAACTTATGGATAATCATGTCTTCTATAATTTCTTATGTTGTCTAATGCCAGTTTTCAAATTAAAAAAAAAAGAAATCACTTCTAAAGTCCCCATTATGGTCACCAATCCAATCTCTTGATTTAGAATACAGCAATAACTCTGAAAACCCTTAACAGCTTTTCATGGAGCTTACCAACTCTTCGCAACACAAGCTAACTCCGATTTGTATAGCACCAGAAAAAAATGAATTCTAGAGGGACAGTTCCTTTTTCTAGTAGTTTGTACATCACAGCTTCACATATACATTGTATATGTGTATCAGTATATGTAAAGTACATAACTATAAATGTGTGGAATTGATGATTATTGTACCAAATTCAAGAGTCAGTAAGTCAAATCAATAAATATTTTTCAATACTTATCTCTCCATGTCTGAATAGTTTACGAGCCATAGGAAACCCTGGGAAATGTTTAAAAGTTTCAAAATGTTTAAAAACTTCAAAAATTTTTTTCTTTTTTAGTAGAGAATATGAGTAACAGGAATTGAGATAAGAGAAATATCAAATTGTGCAAAGAAGTCAATGTTTTTATTAAGAGTAAACACCGACTTTTCAAAATAGTGAGTAACCCTCTCAGTGTAACCACTGTCCTCAACGCTTTTCTGCATGACTCACACGCAGAACTGCACCGTGGTAAAAATAAGCAAAAGTCGTTCATGGGAAATAATTTCAAATTTCTGAAATGTGGTTACATTTTCTGAACAAATGAGTTAAGCAGACACCATTTGTTGATAAGCATCATGTGCGAGAATGGGGAGTCTGCCGCAGTCAGAGAGTAAATCAATCACAGGTCTGAAAATCGAATCCACATGTGCAGACTTGCAGAGTGGCTTGCGCCACCAGCTATCACTCTCTCATCGCGCTCCTCTAGCGCTGCCCTGACCGGGGGAGGACTGCCAGCGGTGAGTGTGACCAGACCGGAAACGCGGCCCAGGCCCACGCGCTGAGCCGCCATCTCATTCGCCACGTAAAGTCACCATAGGGCCTGAAGGATATCATTTGGTGTTTAGCCTGAGATGTTTCGTACATCTGCTCAAAGTCAATAAGATATCTGTGGTTGTTGAAGGATCAGAGCCCACTGTGCAGGGCACTGTGCAGAAGAACAATTTTAAAATAAGGAGGTAATTTTTATGGACCATTATGTTTCTGTGTTTCAGAACAAGGACTATTGACAGGATAATGGGACTACAGCAAACAATGTACTTTTCTGCAAGTATTCCTTCGTTTATTAATTTCATGCTCATGCAGTCATGCACTTACTCCTTTAGTTTTATTATGAATCGAGTGCCAGTTTATTCCAAGTCTGTCACAGCATGGAAGAGGCACCTCCTACAACAGAATGTAGTGATGGGGCAGACATGCATAGACAAAGATTCTTGGGTTGCTAGTGAGCAAAGGTCAACCTAAACTAATTTAATCAGGATAATGTTCATGAGCAAGGATAGCTAAATATCTAAGAACACATAGAGCTTCAGCCACAGCTGAGTTTAGGGACTCGAGAAACATTTCAGGATGCATCTTCTTCCTCTTGGTTCCTTGGCTGGTCTTCAATCTCAAATGACTTCCATCTGAGGCATACTTCCAATAACCAGCCACAAATTGACTCACAGATTTACATGG